AAAATTGTACAAACGCATGTCATTCCGGAATGATTATCTCAAAAACAAGCTCGAGAAACCCCATTTTTCTTTGCAAGCATCAAATTCAGGTTAAAAAAGTTCCAATTTTCTGTTTATCATTTACCAAAGTAGTCAGACACCTTAAGTTTTAAAGCAAAAACTTGCCAAGGACCCAAGAGCAGCGGAAAATGTGGACCCTTTAGTCAAATCCTATCAAGAACGTTTTTTGCCAGCTCCTTCTAGATCGATAAAGGGTTCATTTTCAATATGATCGGTGAACCATAACCTGAACGATAGAGTTAAATCTCTAGTCTATTTTGGAATAAAATATTATTTAAACAGAAACATTTTAAAGCCTTAAAATCTCGGTGAACGAGATTTCTTTTTGCAATGTCCGCCATTTTTTTTACCCCTGCACATCAAGGATTTGACGCAAGAAGACGCATGGGATTGATTCTTTTGCCGAAAACACGATTCGCATTTGAATGGCTAATCGCGTTTTCCCTGTGATCACCTGGAACAATTAGCCGAATAGCCTATTGTCCTTCCAAAGTGAAGAGAAGAAAAGTTAAAGAATGGATAGGAAATAGCTTTATTTTAATGGAAAGATAATAATACCTCCATCGTGTCTTATTCCATAGAGTTCTGTTCTCATGCAGTTTGTACTCCCATAATGACTTGTGGGTGCAACACGTATGTACTGACTAACAGTACCATCATACAAAAGATTCTTGACTGCAGTATTGGAGGAATCGAAGTTACCAACAAAGGACTATTAAAAAAGGAGATAAAAAGGAATAAAAGTTACTACCTATTCAAAGGTTAACGTGCTCCAATTAACGTGTAAAACTTGATCTTTAAAGTAAACGCATGCGCAACGTGATCTACTATCTTGAACTGAACCATCCTTAGAACAAACGTTTTTTTTTTTGTGTGTGTGTGCAGGCTTCAAAGTTTTCACGCATGCGTGTCGAAAAATGGCCTACGTAACGTATATCCAGCACAAACAAACTTGTACAGGAAGCGTAAGCGCAATCCCATGGGTATAAGGTCCTTGCTACTAAAATAACTAATCATCTTGTGTGATGAAAAAACAAGTTTGATGTCAATAGTTTTACATTTTTTTACACCCTACTGTACTATAGAAAAAAATTAAAATTATCTTGAGGTGATTCCCTTGAAATAGAAGAAGAAATGTCATTTCCAACAAACTTTGCTTAGTCGTTCATTTCGCCATGGACGTTTTAAAAATGCAATAAAAAATGGGGGTCACCATTATCGTTTTCATGCTATATGGCCTCAAATATGACAAAATACGGCCTTGATGACAAATATGGCTGTAACCGGAAGTCAAATAAAAATAACACCATTCCTTGCCAAATCACATGTTTTAAGCAATCTACAAAAAGTAATCTTAATTATATTACCTAAGTTAAGCATTTTAAAATCACATAAAAATAAATAAAATCAGGAGTGTATAGTCATATGGTTATTTCTAGAAAGGAAGCACATTTTTTTAGCTTGCTTACCTTCACTTGGCTGTTTTCCGTGTATTTGGTAAAAGCAGTTCCATCATTTGATGTCAGCATGTTGTAAGACTGTACCCACTGATCGCTCATGTGGTCACCCTGTGTTGCTATACCACAAATGATGTAAGGCGATCCTAAGTTAATCTGTAGATATGGAGAAGAGTCATTTGCAGCAGCACACCACGATGACCCTGCTGTGTAGTTTAGTCTTGCCTTGGATGGTGACGTGGTACTGTTGTAAGCTGTTGATGACGTCATATCACTGTCTGGTATCTTACCACTACCAATACCAACTGGTAGAGAGCTGCACGACGAACCTGTAATAATATTATCATTAATAATTAAATTATTGAAAATCAGATGAAGCAAGTATAATTTTTTTACCCAGACTAACCTCTGCGAACGCCATAGGCTTCAACACGAAGTACCTTATAAATGTTATACGTTGTGGGTATAAACCTAATGTATCTGACCAGAACTGGATACTGTAGGACATTCTTGACAACAGTATTCCTATCTGTATTACCAGGAAACAACTAGAAGAAAAATAGCAACATCTAAGACATTCTGGACAACAGTATTACTCTCTGTATTACCAGTAAACAACTAGAAGAAAAATAGCAACAT